TTCACATGGCTCAACCAGTAGGTTTCCCAGTGAGGGGTAAGGAGAAGTTGGTGTACAAACTCAAGAAGAGTCTATACGGACTGAAGCAAGCTCCTAAACAGTGGTACTTGAAGTTTGACAGTTTTATGCAGCGGAATGGGTACATTAGATGCAAGATGGACCATTGCTGTTACTTGAAGAAACTCGAGTCATCATACATTATTCTTCTTTTGTATGTTGATGACATGTTGGTGGCTGGAGCAAACATGCAGGAGATCAACAAGCTCAAGAAGAAGTTGTCTGAAGAATTTGAGATGAAGGATTTAGGGGAGGCGAGACAGATTCTTGGGATGAGCATAGTCAGAGACAAGGTGGAAGGTACTTTAAAGCTTTCACAACAGAAGTACATTCAGAAAGTCCTTGAGAAGTTCAGAATGACGGATGCCAAACTAAGGAGTACACCGTTAGGGAGTCAGTTGAAACTCTCCAAGCAGCAGTCTCCAAAGACCAATGAAGACAAAGAAGAAATGGCTAAAGTTCCTTATGCATCAGCCGTTGGCAGCTTGATGTACGCGATGGTGTCAACAAGGCCGGACATTGCTCATGCAGTGGGAGTTGTTAGCAGGTTCATGTCAAATCCAGGGAAGGAACATTGGGAAGGCGTTAAGTGGCTGTTACGCTACTTGAAAGGTACTTCTGAAACTGCCCCATGTTTCAGGAAGAATGGCGTAATTCTAGAAGGATTTGCCGATGCTGATTTGGGGGGCTGTCATGATTCCGGGAAGAACACTACGGGTTACATATTCACTATTGGAGGTACGGCAATCAGTTGGATGTCTAGACTACAGAAGAGCGTAGCTCTTTCAACCACAGAAGCAGAATATATGGCCATTGCTGAAGCGGCCAAAGAGTTGATCTGGTTGAAGAACTTTCTTTCAGAGTTGGGCATGAATCAGGGAGATTGCGGTCTATATTGTGACAACCAGAGTGCTATTCATCTCGCGAAGAATCCGGTGTTTCACAGCAGAACGAAACACATCAAGATGCGGTATCATTTCATTCGAGAATTGATTGAAGATGGTACTATAAGTTTGAAGAAGATCCTTGGTACGAAGAATCCAGCAGACATGCTTACCAAGGCGGTGACAACGGAGAAGTTGAAGCTATGCATGGCTACAACGGGCCTTCCAGATACTTGATGAGAAGGCGCGGACGAGAGAGAGAGAGAGAGAGAGAGAGAGAGAGAGATCAGGGGTTTTACAGAAGATACATGTTCTTGGATGGCAGATGATTGTTGACCAAGCCTCCAAGTGGGAGATTGTTGAAGATGGAGTCTTGTTCTGTTTTTTAAAGCAGTTACCCGACCGGGTATATTAGGTCACCCGACCGGGTATGTTGAAGCAGAGACCTGGGAACTCACTGGAACGTGAGACCCGACCGGGTCAGGAGACGGACCCGACCGGGTCAGCGAAGGTTTCACTTTCTATTTTGGATACCCGCCCTGGTATCAACCCGGGCATGAATTTTGTGAAGAGACCCGACCGGGTCAAGGGGGGCACCCGACCGGGTCTACGGGAATTTTAATTACGGGCCTTGATTTTAATTAGGGCCTGCGGCTCTAATCTCTGTTTAGGTTTTCTTAAACCTATTTAAACGACTCTTATGTACTTGTAAACCTCTTGGGACGCTGATAATAATATATCCTCTCTCTCGTTCGCCGTGGACTAGCACAATCAACCCGATTGTGTGAACCACGTAAATTCTTGTGTTCTTGCTTTTAATTTATCGTTTATCTTTGCCTAATCGTAACAATTATCATACGGAGTCAAATAATTTTTTTCGATTCGTGATTGGGATTAAAAAATACTATTATTTGAATTCGAGAATATATATAGAATATGAATACGAATATAAACAATATTTTTGGTTCGAACATCTTTGAAGTACAACTTCAAATAATTATGTATATTTGACTAATTAATATTTAACCTATATTTAATCTGATTCAATATTATTAGTATATGATTCGTTAACTATTTTTATTATTAAAAGAATACGAATACAAATCAAAATTAATATTCATTTCATATTCGAATCCGGATCGGTTAAATAAACGAATACCAATACGAATATTTTATTATTCCGCTCGCTCTGATTTACAACTTACCCACGGTGCAGTTGATGACGACATAAAGGTGAAGGGCTTGGTTATGCAGATGGTCCCTAAGAGAAGTAGCCATTTAGCAATGATGCCTTTACTACAAGGGTCGAGACAGGTAGGGTTTGGTATGTTTGTATGTGTGGGCTTTTAGTCATTTTATCTATAAGTAGTCTCTTTTTTTTAGCTCATGCGAAAATTATGTAGTGTTTTTTCAATTGAAAAATCAAGAGAAAAGAGGCAAATAAGCCCACGTACTTACCAAAAAAGGTCAAATAAACACTTATATAAGAGGCTCTGTCCGGCCATCGTCATTGGGGCGGTTTCCGGTGGAAATTTTTGATGAAATTTTTTGAGCATCTTATTCATAAACTCTAGTTTACTCATACTAAATTTCAGCTAAAATTTCAATCGGGAAGGCATTCAAATGAATTCTTGAAGATAACTGTGCAGTTAAAAACGTAGTTATTTTCAAGAATTTATTTGAATGGCTTCCCAATTGAATTGTTAGCTGAAATTTGGTAGGAGTAAACTAGACTTAATGAATAAGATGCTCAAAACATTTCACCGGGAATTGTCCCAAATGGCGACGGCCGTACAGAGCCTCCTATATAAGGACTTATTTGACCTTTTTTGGTTAGTACGTGGGCTTATTTGCCCCTTTTCCCAAAAATCAATGATACTCCGTATTACATTTGTCATTATTTCTTGTTTAATTTTGGAAATTTGCTTCAATTTATGAAAACATAACACATTTTCTCTAACTTTGTGAGTAATGTTGTCAAAAAAAACTTTGTGAGTAAAGAAACACGTTACAGAAATGTAGCCAGTTTTCTAAATAAAAAAATCTGTCAAATTAATATGTCTCTTTTTTCCTCTTTTTAATCACGGACCATGAATTTTGCAAATTTAGGAGAAAAGAAGAGAATACGTTTCGAAAACGAAACACGGTGTTGACCTTTTGCAGCCTCCATTCTTGACTTTCATACCTTGACTATTATCACTTCAAAGTTTAGACTTCTTCAAAAAAACAAAAGGTTAATTAGTGCCGTTTGATTATTACGGAGTATCTAATTTCCCTTTTTTGCCATATCGAGTTACTGAGTTAGCATACTTAAATACAAATTATACAGTAAAAATGCTTGGGCAATGGAGAAAGAAATCCAGTTACCAAATCATTCCATTAAAGAGAGGCTTAAAAATGAATAACAGTTTTTGGAGGAGATGATATAAAGTATCTTTTTTTTCTTCACATGGTATATTGCACTTTGAGGAAATTAAAGTGTAATAGTTGTCGTTATGATCGTTAATTTACTTCCTCATTTCCTCCATGTTCTCATAATACTTCTTTTTTAATGCTGATATTTTTCTCTTAAAGAGAATTTATGTATAATTGCTCATTCTTAAATATTCATTTGTAGAGAAATCATCATGTCAGGCCGGCCTGACCGGGAGAGCCGTCCGGCCGAGCCCTTTTGGCGACCTTCCCGGTGGAATTTTTTGATGAAATTATTTGAGCATGTTTTTCATCAAGTCTAGTTTGTCCATACCAAATTTCAGCTCAAAATTCGATCGGGAAGACATTCAAATCTTTTTTTGAAGTTGACTGCATTTTTATATGTATATTTTGACGCAGTCAACTTCAAAAAATGATTTGAGTGGCTTCTCGATTGAATTTTTAGCTGAAATTTGGTATGGATAAACTAGACTTCATGAAAAACATGCTCAAAAAATTTCATCAAAAAATTCCACCGGAAAGGTGGCCAAACGGGTTCGGCCGGACGGAGGTTCCCGTCGGGTCGGCCTGACAAGAAGAGTTCTCTTCATTTGTAATGTAAGTTAGATATAACTGATTTGACAATGATAGACCCAACGGGGTTCCGGATTAAGATTGGATAGACTTATAGATCATTCCATATCAAGTTAAAATATTGTGGATTTCCTAAAAATCAGAGATAAATATTTGGATTGATTTATTTAGGTAAAAAATTATAAAAAAGAGTACGCGAAAAGATAGAAATAAAATAAAGAAAATGAACCAAATTACATAATTTTGTTAAAACAAAATCAAAATTGAATAACAAAATTAAAACAGAAAACAAACATTTACTTTTAAAATAACAAAAGATGTGTCATGTATGTATAGAGCAGTCACTAGATATGCATTTGTCTATGGTGTGTGAGTAGTTGGATTATGTGAATTTCTAACAGATAAGAGTTTTTAATGAGTGGAAATCGCATCGACTATACTTGATCTATTTATAATAAAAACATGAGAATACTATGTATGAAAAATAGTTACAATAATTTTTAAACAATACCTTCACTCAGTTCAACCAATCAAAGGTCAAATGTTTTGATGGTTTGCGCAAAATTAAAGTTACATACGTAGTCCTCCGTATCTATTCTAATATAAAAGCAAAAGAAGTTTATGAACAGTACTCCCTCCCAAAAATGTCACTATCAGGCTTTGGGTCCTTATTTAATTTAAAATAATTCAGAATATTACCATGTTGGTTGCTGGAGGCTGTCATTTACAAAACTTCCGAGGCTGTGAATAATTATTTTAATGGAGTTGTTGAATAACTTTTTGCCTATTCGCTGGGCTGGGCGGCGTACAGTGTACCATGTATTCCTATTGGCCAAAATAGGTGGCAGGAATAGTGTCCACATATTTGGTAACTTTCTATTGGCTAAAATCTGTGGCAAGAATAGTGTTCAATATTTGGTGACTTTCTATTGGCTACAATTGGTGGCAGGAATAGTGTACACATTTTGTTTCTAACTTTCCATCGGAAAACTTGGTTTGTAAAGAACTGGATAATGTAACCAGACCTCAAATTTCCCCTATAAAACCATCATTCGACAGTGCTTCTTCCCACACCAAAATATATCGGCCTGATTATCAAAAGCAAGCTAAGTTTCTTTTAACAATGGTTGGAATGTGGTCTTTGATCCGACAGATAGATCAAACTAAAACGACATGGGCAATCAAGGCGAGGGCTGCAAGGGTCTACCGTGAGCCAGCCCATGATGGTTTTCCACCATCATTGGAAGTGATCTTTCATGACGAAGAGGTTGAAATTAATTGATTTTGTTTAAACATGGTTATTTTACGTTTTCTTAACACATAATCTGTAATACCAGGGCTCGAAGATTCATGCTCATGTACCAGATCAGTTTGTGGGCAAGTTTCACGCTTTGTTTACTGAGGGACGTATCTTTGCGGTTAAGAATTTTATGGTTGAAGAAAACTTCATGTTTTTTAAAACAACAACAAGTGCGTATAGGCTAAGGTTTTTTAAAAAAACTGAGGCCTTTGAGATGAAAATTCCTTTCCCTCTGAAGACTTTTTCATTGGTGTCATTTTCTACCTTACATGCCCAGGACTCTGTTGATGATAGAGCAGCCATTGGTAGGTTTAAAGATTTAAACAAACTGTAAAAAGAATCCATCATATCATGCTCTAACTATTAATTTACGGCACAGATATCATTGGTCAAGTTGTGCATGACAAAGACCCTAAAACAATTCTCAAGAACGATCGTCCTAAAAAGCTGATAGAACTTATCTTAGGCGACACCGAGTTAGTAAAATCTGCTATGTATTTGAAATATAGTTCATCATATTTTTTCAAATCCTAATGAGAACATTTTTAGGGGAAATGTCATCGCATGCACACTCTGGGGTCCTATGGTAGAAATGCTGGTCACCTACAAACTAACCACTACAGAACCTATTGTTATGCTTCTTCAGTGCTGCAGGGCAAGAAAATACCAAGGTGTTCAATCTTTCTATCCCACGTGCGAAGGGAATACATGCTATTCACACCTCTGTTTTATTCCTTTTATATGTTTGCATATTACTACTAACGGATAGAGTTTGATCAGGACAAGTGCATGTTTCAAACATGTTTAATACAACCAAAGTTATTCTGAATGGGTCTGAGGAAGTGTTCAACGATTTCAAGACCAGGATGGCTGAAAGGTGTGGGGAAGGTTTGAGTTTTACAATATCTTCAGACACATCCAGTGAAGGAGATATTAGTAGTGGACAGATCGAATTGGTCACGATTGACCAACTGACCAAAATGGAAGAGGTACAATCAACACATGTGAAACTTTTGCTTTATGACTACACAAGTTCATATTTATCTAATTTTTTTTAAGGATGGGAAACACTGGGTTTACGGAGAGATCGCTGGAATAGACAGTCACAGGGACTGGTCATACGTGTCCTGCATTGGATGCAACTGTAAAGTGTCACCCAACGGCTACACGTTCCAGTGTTTGACTTGCAACACTTCTGATGCGGTGCTGCGGTTAGTGTGTGCAGTGGTCAATACTTACCTAACAAAACAATAAATATATCACTATGCTAAATGACTACATGCATTCATTTAATTGTGCAGCTACAAAGTGAACATTAGGGTAGTGGACAAGACATCTCATGCTTCTTTCCTGCTGTGGGATAGGGAAGTTTCGTGTTTAATAGGTCGTTCGGCGGCATCTCTGAAAGAACAAGTGGCCAAGGTTTGACACTTATCTAATATTTTTGTTTGTTTATAGGCTTCAAAATTGTGCATCTTTACGTTTTGTTTATGGATAGAGAAATTTTGGTCCGCACTACTTTCCTTCGGAGATCAATGCCTTGATGGATATCAAGGCACTGTTCCGTGTGCAGTACAAGATGGACAGTCGGAACTATAAGGGTAACCAAACCTTCAGTGTGCTTAGGATGAACACAGACCCGAGGGTTATTGCCCTTTATGTTTCTGAGACAAGAGCATCAGAGGTTTGTTCTACAAGACTACAGCCACATTTTTTGTTATAAGACTTTCATAAATTTCTGGGAATATCATAACACTGAATCTTTGTTTCAATGTATAGGATGAAGATGAGTTCACCCTGCTGAAGAAAGAGTTTTGTGGCACAGATAATGTAATGTACACCCTTGCTTTTATGAGAGGTAAATTGGAAGTATTTTCTAAGCCAGTGCTAACTAACAGTTTGTCCTTTATTTCAAGGTTTGTTCTTCCCAGTATGACAGTTCAGCAAGCCCACCACTTTTGAACAAGCAACAGAAAATGGCACTTAAGATTGATGGAGAAAGGTTGAAGAAAAACCTATTTGGGGAGTCATCTACCACGGTGCCCATGAAGAAAATGAAGGGTGTGAAGATTGAGGAGCCTAAACCTTGATGTTCTAATGTGGGTGTCTGGTGTGTGATGCAGCTATGTTATGGAGTACTAAATAAAAAACTGTCTCGGCAGTTGTGTGGCCTACGTATGTGTTGTTGAACATGTTCCTAACGTAGTATATCTATGTTGTTAGAAGGCATAATGCTGACCTATCTCAGGTGTTAGGGAGTCTTCTACATGTTTTGTATTTTGCTATTTGTGTGTAACCAAGTTAAACTTCTGTGATATGTGAAGTTTCTATTGTTATTGTTTATGAAAAACATCTTAACCTATGTTCATTGCGTTAATTATTTATTCCTCGGTGTCGAAAAGAGTTATTCAAATCAAAATGCATAGTCCGTGTTTTGGATAAAAGTTATGTTTAGAGTAGCGTACCTGTGATCTGCCTCCGAGCTTTGTGTCCTAAATCTAACCTATGTCTACTTATTACAATTACAATTAAAACAATAAATGAAATAAAAAAAACTTGATCCCTTGCAAAATTCTGCAATAATCCCTGCAAGTTTCAGCATTTAGGTATGTGTTAGATGATATTGAACATAATCTTTTATCAGCCGAACAATGAAATAGATGTACAATGTTATGTGCTGCGAATTTAGGTAAGGGCTTTCCAAAAAACCAAAAATAGAGGTTGCCCAAGTTTTTAGGGCAAGGATGCATCCAAATATTTACCAATTTTACCCACCCCCTGAATTGCTGCCATGTCTAGGGCAGGGTGTTCTTCCTGGGGGATGTAATCACAGAGACTTCCCCACATAGGGCAGTTCCTAAGGCGTGGCTGTGTATTTTGCCCAAATAATTGTATGAATGAATGAAGAGTTGATAAAATAATGCTTAATGTGGGCATGACATGTTATATTTGTCAACAGGTTGTATTTTAGGGCAAGGATGCATCCAAATATTTACCAATTTTACCCACCCCCTGAATTGCTGCCATGTCTAGGGCAGGGTGTTCTGCCTGGGGGATGTAATCACAGAGAGTTCCCAACACAGGGCAGTTCCTAAGGCATGGCTGTGTATTTTTCCCCAAAAATTTGTAGGAATGAATGAAGACTTGATAAAATAGTGCTTAATGTGGGTATCACATGTTATATTTGTCAACAAGTTGTATTTTATGGCAAGGATGCATCCAAATATTTACCAATTTTACCCACCCCCCTGAATTGCTGCCATGTCGGGGGCAGGGTGTTCTGCCTGGGGGATGTAATCACAGAGAGTTCCCAACACAGGGCAGTTCCTAAGGCATGGCTGTGTATTTTTCCCCAAAAATTTGTAGGAATGAATGAAGAGTTGATAAAATAATTCTTAATGTGTGTATGAGATGTTCTATTTGTCAAAAGGTCTTAAATAACATTAATTGTGTCAAGGACACTGCATTGTAGTTGGGATGTGTTTTCAATAACATAGGGCACTTTCTAAAACCATAGCATAGTTTTAATGGTTCATACCTTGAACTCATCCCTGAACATGTGTTCCTGTTTTCGGTGAAACCATTCCCTTTCGCCCCCCCTGTGGTAATAATAAAGGATTGTTGCAGTATAAAGAAGCGTCATACGATGGATAATGCATCAAAGAACACCACATTACATAACCAATTTCAAACTATTGCACTAATGGTTTATGATTGACAACACCAGTTTGAATTTTTTGTGTTTTTTTGGTTGTGATTTGTTTGTTCGGTGACGTAATTAGTAGTGAATTCAGTTTAAATTACTTATTCTAAAATTGTTATTGTTTAGGATATATGGAGTATATAATTTATCATCATATACGTCAAGCATAACAATTGAAGAGAAATTTTTATTTACTCCCGGAGATTAACTTAGACATTTAAATATACCGATGAATGGACACAGTTTATTGCCTAGATTTATACTCATGCATTATTAATGGATATCAAACCTAGGCAGTTATAATCAACTTTGGTTAAAATATGTTGTGGCATCGTCCCGAAATTGTGATAGTTTTGAGTATAATAAAAATCATTTCTATTTATAAATCAGAATTGTGGCTTGGGTGATTAAGGATGCATTCAGATATTTACCAATTTTTCCAACTCCCCTGTATTGCCACAATGTCAAGGGCAGAGCGTTCTGCCTGGGAAATTTAATCAGGCTAAATTAAGATATTTTCAGTTATACTCAAAATAAAATGTATGGGGTTATCAAAAGTGAGATTTAAGTGACTAAGGATGCATCCAAATATTTACCAGTTTTACCAACATTACCTAACAACCTTCAAAGTAATGCACTTATTCTTTAAGATTAACAAACCAGATTGATTTTGTTTTATTTTTTGTAGTCCATTGTTGTTCAGTGCCCTAATTAGCCGTGAATTCAGATTTATTCTGCTTATATTTATATTCATGGCTTATATTTATATTCATCAACTTTGGTTAAAATATGTTGTGGCTTCATACTGAAATTAACATACTTTTGTTCATAATCAAAATCATTTTTATATTTAAATCAAAATTGTGGTTTGAGTGATTAGGGATGCATCCAAGTATTTACCAATTAGTATGACTCCCCCATATTAAAACAATGTCAAGGGCAGAGCCTTCTTCCTGGGAGATGTAATCATGCTGAAATTAAGATACTGTAGGTTATACTCAAAATCATTTGTATGAGGTTATCAACATTGAGATTAAAGTGACAAAGCATGCAACCAAATTTTTACTAATTCTTCCAACATTACATAACAAATTTCAAAGTAATGTGCTTATGCTTTAGAATATGAAACCAGTTTGATTTTTTTTATTGTGCTTTGTTGCTCGGTGCCCTAATTAGCTCTGAATTCAGTTTAATTCATTCTACGATCGTTATTGTTTTGGAAGATATGGAGTATATAATTTATGGCCATATACGCCAAGCTTAACAATTGAAGAGGAATTAATTTTTCCCTGTATATAAACTGAGTTATCTTAAATGTCAGTGAATGCACACAATGGGTTCAAGCCCAGGCAGTTATAAGAAACCTATAGTACTAACATGGATTTTTTACCGGGGCAAATTTGCCATCTGTATTGATAATAGCTCCTGGCTTTTTTGAGGAAAAAAAAATATTTGTTGAACCGCTGCCAACTTTTACTGACTCGGTTTTAGTTTAAAAAAATAATTTTTGATTTTTTAATTACACAAATAGGACTAATTTTACCAAACACTACTACCTTATACTACTAATCAATTTTTCCCAAAAAATGCTTTTATTTAACCACAAGTGCTTGCAGACAAATTGTTTATCACAAGTGTTCCTTTGCTACCTAAAAAGTTGCAATATCTGTTGACAAGTCCTTTTTGCAATTTTGCTATTTTTAAGAAGAAAACATTTATTTTACGAAACACTACCAACTTTTACTTTTTGGTTTTTGTGTATAATCCACTATTTACTTTTTCTGTTACACAAATAGCACATATTGTACCAAACAATACCAAATTATACTACTAATAAATTTTTCCAAAAAGGTAATATTAATGACGAGGTTTTGTTTGCTAACTAAAAAATTTTAAACGTAATGTTGCCTGGCTGCTCTTTTCTTTTAATGAATGTCTTATAGATTAATTTTTTTAGAGGATGTATTCATAAATTAAAACCGAGTGTTCACACACAAGTTGTGCTGAGATATTTTCTGAATACAGTAAAACTGGAATGGGCTTAGCGTGTAGGTTTTAACACTGTCAGGCAGTGTGTGGTAGAAAAAAGTGCACATCATGTTGTGCAGTAGAAAATTATTACGCTGCTGAGTGTATAACATTTCAAGAGTCACGATTGGTTTCTTTTGTGTATATACAGTGTTTTTATGCTATGGATTTACAGGTTAGGTGGATGTTATGATTTCTTAGCACTGTTGTTTGCCCAGAAAATTGGTTTGTCATTGATTCAAGATTTCGTATGATCTTATTAGGATTGCTGAAATCAGATCTGATTGCAACTTGCTAATGTAATTTTTTATAGATATATACATCGCATTGTCTTAGAGATTGCTCAAACAAAAACCCTAATTCCAGCTCTTCCTAATTTATCATCTCTCTAACTACCCTTCATTGTTCAAAGTTAACTCGGGTCTTCAGGTGAGTGAAATAGACAATGTTAATCCGTCAGTTTTATCCTCCTAAAATTTGATGTTAGACTTTAATTTACATTAACCTCTCTTGAATGCCTATTGTCTGTAATAAAACAACCTCCGTTTTTAATTTTCAACAGATTCTAAGAAGTAATTTGATATTAAAGTTTGAAACTGAACAAACTTTCACTTACTCCATGGTTTGTGTTTCAGTCGCACCCTTAAAGATTTTAATATATTGCATGTTCGTTGTATTTTAATTTCATGAGATTCAGTGTAAGGTAAATTCTATCAAAAATTGTAAGCTTCAGCCTTATTCAATGGGTAGCCTAGCCCCTTTTTTGAGTGGGAGTGTTTTAAAGAGGGGAAATGAAAAAGCAATTGTTGTTTGAATAGATTATTATTTACAACTAAGGGTCTGAGGTTTCCTTCATTATATTGTTTTCGCATTTGCCTAGAATTCGAGGAATGGCATCTCAGGAAGGCATGGTTGGTATGACTGGTGGTGTGAATTCCTGGTGTTTTGTAAGGCAGTGTGAACACTGTTTTCGTATGGTCCCTGATAACTTAATCCGTTCAGTTGATGGTGATGGTATTCACCTGGACATCTGTGTTTCGTGTTACCGTCTGTTTGAGCTAGATTTTCTCATTGACGGAATCCCCCCGTCACCAAAATCTCCGGCGCCGCTTTCACCCTTCTGTGGAGATTTCAATCTCTGGTGGACCTTCGAATCCGTAGGTGAGGCATCGGGGACGGCACCAGGCACTCCCCCAGCTGGAGTGATAGACGGGCCCCCTGCGGCACCACCTTCTCCGGAGGCTCTGTCACCCTTCTATGGAGATGTCAATCTCGGTTGGTCTTTTGAATCTGGTGTTGAGGCCTCGGGTATGGCACCTGTCTCGCCCCCAGCTGGAGTCAATGAGGAGGTTGTCTTGAGGCGGTCTGCTCGCACGATCAGTTTGAACAAGCGTTACTTCAATGGGGATTTTGTTGTTCACTTCAATTTCGACTGGCTTTCTAGATAGTTTCATCAAATGTAATTTCAATTTAGGGGGATTGGGTTTAGTTGTTTTAATGGTTGACCTGTGCTTATTTAAAGTAATGCTCTCAATCTTTGTATTTTGCCCATCAGTTCCTATATTATGAATGTTTTGGATCATTATTGATGGCTTCTATTCCGTTAAAGTGTTTGTGTTTGGTGTGTGTGAGTGGTGCATGCTTTGTGGTTTAACACATTTTCAGAGACAACTTTTAAAGTGCTGCAATTTGATGCATTTTTTTTGGACCCTAGATTTGAGCTGGGAAGATTGTACCCAAGGCAGGAACTGACCATATTGCATCCGTGGTCATTGACAATGATTAGGCTTACGAGGTCGATGATAATAGGTCGCAAGAGACCGCATTCAGGTATCTATATGTGTATTGCCTCAATGGGAATCTAAATATGTCGAGATTATTATTCTCGGACGAATATTGACTTGGACTACCAAACTGTTTTTTGGTCAGTGTGTGTTGGTTATAAAATTATTATGTGTAGCAATGGAATGTTATTACAAAATGTTTTTTAGTGGTGTTTTTGTGATAAGTATTTGTTTATTGACTCTGTGTTGTAAAACAGTGTGAATGATAAAGCAAATTTAGATTAGCTACTCTAACCTTGATTTTGAATGGACAACTCTGGCTATTGGCATCCATATTTTCTTCGATAGTTCTGCAGGCAAAAATCTAACATATAACCATTTTGTGAGATGTGATGTTATAACAGAATAAATCATTAAGAGTATTGGATATGAGGTTGTCATTTGCAGTGGTTAGAAAAGTCTTAACTTAAGGTGTGGTGTTACGATGGATGAAATAAATCGAGAAACTGAACATTAAAGATAAACTTTTGCTTTGCTCATCCTTATGGCTTTGTCATGTTTTCTGTCCTCATTTCATTGACCCTGACAGTTAACATATACACAACATTAGTGCCAATTTATTGTTACTTTAGTGGCCAGTAAGTAACCTTTTAGTAAAGAAATGTCTTTCCGACCTGTATTTTGGTTGTCCTGCTTCCATGCTACTAAATAGCTTTTCACCTCGATTGCTTGGTCTGTGACATTTCTTCCTTGCCAGTTTGAAGAATTAACACTGCAATATTAGATATCAATCAATCAATATATATATATATATATATATATATATATATATATATATATATATATATATATATATATATAAACGTTCACAGATATGCATACCTGTGGTTAAACACTACGGGGGGTGTGGCTTTCTCTTTTATTTGACAAGTTTAGTACTTGGCATTATTAGATTCTGCCTCCATCTCTGCATCCTTGGTTTTTCACTTCATGCTAATGGTTGGTATTATGTGAGCTATCAGATGTGTGTGTGTTGTGATTTTTCATCAACCGGAGCTTCAAGGTCACAGTGTTTTGTGATTGTGAAGCATCTGTTTTCAATAATTGGAGTGTGAGGCTGCAGGTCTGGGTTTTTCAAAATACAAAATGAAGTCTATGTGTTGTTTATTTTAACCAGAAAAAAATGCTCGGTGGTGTGTGGGTTCCAGATCAATAAGTGTGGTCGGTGGCTGGTGGTTGGGTTTTTAAGTGTAGGGGGTGTGTCTCAAAAATAATTATTGATACGGTGGTTGTAGAATAGATAACATTTGAGATTTTGAGGTGGGTGGTTCAAGAATAGTCTTTTGGTGGGGTGGGTGGGCTGGTGGAGAATATTAAATTCGGTGGTGGGCCGTTATCATTAAATGAGGTGTGGACTAATTTGTGGTTTCAATTTAAAAAAACTGAACGTGGGTGGGACCGGCTCTTTTATTACGCAGAGGCTTTACAGCGGTTGTCTGTACCTTTTCCCTGTTCCAGATTCTTCTTCCAGCCTGGTGCGATAAATGATTATATGAATTATTCCCAAAATTGATTTAAAATAAATGTTATATCTACGGTTAAATTTAATGGAATAAATTAAGTAGTGGTTAAAATATATGTTATATCTACGTTTAAATTTAATGAAATAAATTAAGTAGTGCTTAAATTATAGTAAATATTTATCAAATTTAATTAAATGAATTTATGAACCAATCCTTGGCTTAAGATTCCGAAAAAAAAATTATTTCGGGTTACAAAAAGTAAGTTTTATGTCATGGATCTATCGTTCACCCCAAAAAAAATCGATTGATTGTGCAGATTTTTGTATAAATTTCATAAATATTTTTGGGTTTAATATGAGGTAGTACTTTTTTTTGAACAATGGGTAAAACTAGGTACAAATGACAAGGATGCAGACCCGTATGATTTTTCAGATCTGTACCGCTATAGATCTTTTCGTTGAAGGTGGTGGATATTCATATTGGGATAAATATTGAGGGTGGTGTGAGGCCATATTATTTTTAACAGATCTGGGATTCGGGTTGTTAGGTATGTGGTTTGTGTGTGTGTTGAAGAAGATTTGTGTGAAGACATGTTTGGGTGGTCTGTGTAGGGTATATTATCGGCTTAGGGTTTGTGTTTTAGGGTGATGTGGGATGAAGAACTTTACCTGTAAGGTCACCGTTGAACGTCGGGGATAGATAGTCTTCGGTTATGGATGTAGTCTGCTTTGTTCGACAACTAGGAGGTCTCCCGTGCGTCGTCTTTACGTGGTAGTCTAGCCGGTCTGTTGCATGTCCGTGGTGCATGTCACAGCGTCGAGAGGTGATCGTTTCATCATTATATTTGTTGCCGGATGTTTCGTTGTGGCCGGATTATTAGTTGTGCCGTGTGTTTATTTGTGGCCGGAGGTGTGAAGGGGTGATGCGACTGGTGTTATCAAAGAAGGAGTGGTCCGTCGTTAGAGAGAGATAGTGGTCAAAGGGTCTTCGAAAAAATGGGGTGGTTTGGATAGGGAAAACGATAATGCGACCTAATATATTTTGGGTCAATCGGTTGGGTTGTTTCCCTGGGCTGGACCAGCTGTATGAACGGGTTTGTATTATGTGTAAAAGGAAAAATTGAAAATAATAAGCCCAACTATTACCGGTCCGCCGATAATAATTCCAACTATAAATTATTTTTGTATAATCCCAACTATATGGACCCTGTACGCAAATAATGGTTCGTGACCGATTATTACCTCATATAAATAATGATGTTTAAATAGAAATTGGGCGTCACAATTAAAAGTTAAGATTATTTATAAGGATTACTTTCTATATTTCTTCTCATCCACTTTTGAAACTACAACAATTTATTTATAGGATCATTATTGTTGAAAGGATCATAAAGTTGGGTTTATTATTAAATAATATATAGTTGATATTATTGTAGACGGACCACCAATAGTTGGCATTATTACTATCAATTATTTTTTTAAAATGGGTTCGCAGATATTTTTTTGTATAAAAGATCAAGTACGTTGGTTTTAAATTAATAAAATGTGTGCGTGTGTTTAAAAATAATATATGCAGTACTTTTTCTGCATGTGGCCTACCGTTGGTTACGGAAAATTAAATTAGTGGTTTCAAGTTAGTCTATTCAAATGCGTTGACCACATTTGTTATTTAATTAGCAGATGTGTTAACACCTGTTTTTTTCTTATGTAATTGTGGTGTATCAATCGTCCTATGTATTTTTTTGCACAATTGATTTATTGTTTCTTATACAATAAATCAGGACTCGAATGATTGAAAACTATCAGTTTAGAACCTATGTTGTAATAAAGTTTATTACTTTTTTATTTTTAACAATTTTAAATAATATTTAGTGTTATTAAGCTAATAAACTTTTGTGAAGAAAGATTCACCAAATATTAGCATTGGAATTAGTAAATAATTAAACAAATCAAACCCTGTGAAATGTTAGGTTCTAGATTGATAGTTTTTCATCATTTGGGTCCTATTCCGATACATTTCATCTTTCAGGTCCCGAATTGATAATCCGTCTATCTTTTAGGTCCTGAATCGATAAAATTCCTTCACTAATTTATTGTTGCACAATTGATGGTTTATTTGTTTTTGTTTGTCGGTGAGGAAGTTATTAATTTTTATTCCTTTGTTGTCATTCATCGTAACAAGTTTTAAGATGAGAGTGCTTTATCTATAATCCCCGTTAGAGTATTTTGTAGCTAATTTGTAAATCTAGGGATTTAAGATTGTTTTGTAGAATATGAAAAATTTTTTTGTCTTGATTTTTTCCCAAATTTAACGGTTGTTCATGAAGATGACCCGGCACAAGATGTCCCGAATCAGCCTCGCGATGTTGCCTCATCTTCAACCTCGAAAATTATTGGTTCTGACGGTGCTTCGGTACAACATCAAAGCACCCCTTTGTCCAACGTTGGTAGAGGTAACATTTTTTTTTGGGATCGTAGAGGTAACATTGTTAAGTACCAGGTTTTTTTATAGCAAACATAGTTTTAGGATTAATCATTGTACAAACTCAAATTAAAAAAAGCTGTTATGCATTTTGATTAAAGGTTATGATCAACACATTGCCAAGGAATCCGACATTATAGACCCTTTGGGTTCGACGATGGTTGACGTGGAGGATATGGCGCCCATTGATGATGATAGTGATGTGGATGATGAGTATGTTGATTATGACGCTCTTCCTGCACACGCCCATAACAGAGCAGTTGGTACGTGTTGATCGATGGTTGATTACACTATTGACCTATCAAATGTTCATTCTTGGTTTTGGTTATTGTTAAATTTCTTCTTTGTTTTTTATTTGCAGAATATTGGGACATCGGTGATGCACATTATTTATGCGAGTTTTGCAATTCCCTTTTTTGGTTTGAGGAACGTGTTGTTTCTATATCTTCTAAAATTAATCCTAAGTATTCGTTGTGTTGCCGTCAGGGAAATGTGGTTTTGCCTTTTATGAAAGAACCACCCTCATTCTTATCTGAATTGATCCATGGTGTTGATGACCGTAGCAAACATTTCATTGAAAATGTGAGATCATATAACAGTATGTTTGCGTTCACATCAATGGGTGGCAAAATTGCCCACACTGTCAACAAAGGAAAGTCTCCACCAATTTTTAAACTTCACGGGCAAAATTATCACCTGATCGGTAGCCTGTTGCCTCCTGCTTGATCAAAGCCTAAATTCGCGCAGTTGTATATTTATGACACGGAAAATGAGATTCAAAACAGAGTTGCATCCGTTGGGTAAGAAGTGTTGCATTTATTTCAATGTTTTTTTATAATGGTTTGAATAAATTTGAATAAAAAAATTTGTTGCAGCGCTGATAGCAGGAGAAAGCAGTTACATGGAGAATTAGTTGCTGGCCTGACTACAATGCTTAACGAAAATAACGTCTTGGTGAAATCTTTTCGTCAGGCTAAAGAAAAAATAGTTACAGATAATGCCCCAAATGTGAGATTGAAGCTTATCGGAAAGCGTTACGGGGATGCAAGAACTTATAATTTACCATCTGTTTCTGAGGTTGCGGCATTGGTTGTTGGAGATTTTGACGAATCACTGGGTGAGAGGGATATATTGGTTGAAACACAGTCAGGTGCACTCCAAAGAATTAATGAATTAAATCCGGCCTATTTCGGGCTTCAATATCCATTGTTGTTTCCTTATGGAGAGGATGGTTATCGCGAGGACACGTTGTTGTCCAAGGCTAAAAATGTTGTCGCGGGTGGTAGAAAAAGGGTTAGTGTGAGGGAATTTCTTGCATTTCGAGTTCAAGAGCGTTGTGACAATCATTCATCCATGGTGAGGATGAAAAGGCTTTTTCAACAGTTCATTGTTGATGGATATACCCTGGTCGAGGCTGCTAGGTTGAGATTTGTTAGGATGAATCAAAAGAAGCTTCGGTGTGATATGTATAAAGGTTTGAGTGATGCATTTTTGCGTGGAGAAAATGATTCACGCACACAAGGCAAGAGAATTGTGTTGCCACCAACCTTTACTGGAGGAGCACGTTATATGATACAAAATTACCAGGATGCAATGGCCATATGCAGATGGGCAGGTTATCCAGATTTATTCATAACCTTTACGTGCAATCCGAGGTGGCCTGAGATAGATCGGTTTCTCCATCCAAGGCATTTGAAAGCGGAAGATCGACCTGATATAGTTAGTCGCGTTTTCAAGGTCAAGCTTGATGGTTTGATCAATGATCTCAGAAAAAATAAAGTATTTGGCAACGTCAAAGGAGGTATTTTTCGGTTTATTATTCATCGCACCAGGTGCACGCCAAACCTATTACTAATGTTCATTTTTTTGCAGTTGTTTATACGATAGAGTTTCAAAAGCGTGGCTTACCTCATGCGCATATTTTGTTGTGGTTAGCGAACGAAGATAAATTGCCATCACCTGTTGATATAGATAGGGTAATATCTGCTGAGATTCCTGATATAAAAAGTGATCCTATGTACTATGCTGCTGTGAGGGATTTTATGATGCACGGCCCTTGCGGTAATTTAGCAAAATCTGCACCTTGCATGGTGGATGGTAAATGTACCAAGCGTTTTCCTAAAAAGTGGTGCACAACAACCTCCATCGACGACGATGGATATCCAATGTATAGGAGGAGGAACGATGACCGCAGGATAACCAAGAATAAAATTGATTTGGACAATCGATTTGTTGTTCCGCATTGCCGTTATTTGTTGATGAAATATGGAGCACATATGAATGTTGAGTGGTGTAATCAATCAAAGTCCATCAAATATTTATTCAAGTACATAAACAAAGGGCGTGACAGGGTCACTGCAGGTTTTTACCAGACAGTTGATGGTGATGTCCAACAAAAGCCAGTCGATGAGATACAGATGTATTATGATTGTAGATACGTTTCTGCGTGTGAGGCTGCGTGGCGCATATTTGGATTTGAAATTCAGTATAAGACTCCCCCGGTTGAACGTTTGAGCTTCCATTTACCGGAAGAGCAAAGTGTTGTTTTTAGCGATGATCAACCTCTTGATTCTGTGGTTAGGTCTTCTTCTGTTAAGGATAGCATGTTCACGGCTTGGATGGACGCCAACAAGAAATACCCGGAAGCTAGACTTTTGACATATGCAGAGTTTCCTCAAAAGTTTGTTTGGAAAAAAGAGACTAGAGAATGGGCTCCTAGAAAACAAGCATTCGCCATTGGCAGAGTCTACTATGTCCATCCCGGTAGCGGTGAATCTTATTACATTCGATGTCTTTTGAATCACATTCGTGGTGCGACAAGTCATGAGGAATTGAGAACCTTGAATGGTGTAACTTATGATACATTTCGTGATGCGTGCTATGCGTTGGGTTTGTTGGACGATGATAGAGAATTCATCGATGCATTTAACGAGGGAAGTCATTTCTCAACCGCTTTTTGCTTGAGGATTCTATTTGTAATATTGTTATGGACTGAGTCAATGGGAAGACCGGAGCATGTTTGGCAAAAATGTTGGTCGTACATGGCAGAGGACATCCAATATACGCGAAGGCGGATTTTACAACATCCAGGTAATGTTTGCCATGATTTTCGGTTATTTGTGCATTCAGGTAGGGTTTTTATGTAACTTATTTTTTCCAGCACATGTTCAATGTATACGATTATGTTTTGTGCAGATTTAATTCTTTCTGACGACCAATTGAAGAGGTTTGCTTTGGAAGAAGTGGAAAGGTTGTTGCAGAGCCGTGGAAAAAGTTTGCGCGATTACCCACCGATGCCAACAGTGGATCTTGATTCAATACTGTCTTCCAATGACAGACTTATTTTTGAAGAATTGCGTTATGATCAAACGGCACAGACAGAAGAACATTCATCTCTGTTCAAGTCTCTTACGGATGAGCAACTTCAAGTGTATGAAACTATAATGCAATCTGTTGATGGGGAAGTTGGTGGAGTATATTTTGTGTATGGGTATGGTGGTTCCGGAAAGACATTTGTTTGGAAGACTCTTTCTTCTGCCATTAGGTCTAAAGGGGATATTGTTCTTAATGTTGCATCAAGTGGTATCGCATCTCTTCTTTTGCCAGGCGGACGTACGGCACACTCTAGATTTGCAATACCAATAAGTCTAAATGAAGACTCCACGTGCAATATAAAACAGGGAAGTCCCCTTGCCAAACTCATTGTGCGGTGTAAATTGATTATATGGGACGAAGCTCCAATGCTACACAGGTTTTGTTTTGAGGCATTGGACAGAAGTATGAGGGACATAATGCACTTCCATAAACCGAATAGTGGTTCTTTTCCGTATGGGGGTAAAACGGTGGTTTTTGGCGGTGATTTTCGTCAGGTGTTGCCGGTTATACCTCATGGTAGTAGGCAAGATGTTGTTAATGCGACGATTAATTCGTCGTATCTATGGTCGGAATGCATAGTCCTACGCTTGACCAAAAATATGCGACTACAGAACATGACCAATCCATCAGATTCTTATGATTTAAAGGTTTTTTCTGATTGGATTGCAAGCATTGGTGACGGTCAGGCTGGTGAATATAATGATGGCCACGGTTGTATTACTATCCCTGAAGATCTTTTGATACACACAGATGGAGATCCTATAGCTGCAATTGTAGAAAGCATATTTCCCGAATATGTTGAATCTGGCGGTGATATTAGTTGCTTGTGTGACCGTGCAATTTTGGCACCAACTTTGGCTGTGGTAGAAGCTGTTAATGACTATATGACGGCGCTCAATGTTAGTGAGGTATCAAGAACATATCTTAGCTCTGACACCGTGTCTAAGGTAGAATCCACGACCGATCTTATGGCGGAGCTGCACACACCTGAATTCTTAAACAGTATAAAATTGTCTGGTGTCCCGAATCATGAATTAACGTTAAAGGTTGGTACCCCAGTGATGCTTTTGCGCAATATCGATCATTCAATGGGGTTGTGTAACGGTACACGTCTTATTTTGACGAGGCTTGGTGATCATGTTTTAGAGGGAAGGATTTTAACTGGGGTTAGTGCTGGACAAAAAGTTTTAATTCCCCGGTTGTCCTTAACACCATCAGATACAAGCTTACCTTTCAAATTTCATAGGAGACAATATCCTCTTATGGTTTCATATGCGATGACTATAAATAAAAGTCAGGGTCAATCTTTGTCACGAGTGGGTTTGTTGTTGAAAAAACCAGTTTTTACCCATGGGCAGTTGTATGTTGCAGTATCAAGGGTGACCAATCGTTCTGGATTGAAAATTCTTATTGTTGATGATCATGAAGGAACCACTAACAAGACTCAAAATGTTGTGTTTAAAGAAGTGTTTAACAATGTTTAGGTATAATTTTCGTTTGATATTTGTAACATTTTGTGGTTAACTTATTTGGGTGATGGGTGTGAACTTTAAATTAATTATTTGTACTCTGATGTTCATCGTGATATTATTTGTTTAATGAATGTATTATGACGAGTTGTATCTGCATGACATAGCGTAGCATAGTTTCGTCGATTCAAATAGTGTTGTGAATTATTGAACATAAAGAAATCTAAAAAAAAATAACTCATGCCGTGCATCGCACGGGTGAGTTTACTAGTTTTTAGAGAAAAAGGGAATGTAAGTCCTCAAGCTATTTGCGATTCTGTAATCAAACTCATGAACCTGAAGACTTGCAGATACATTCGTTGAAAGATAAACATTCTAGTCCTTTTTACCAGCTGGTATCGGTAATATCTCACCTCCTTACCTGCACCATCAGGTAAAAAGGACTCGATTGTTTAATTTTCAATGTATTGAAAGTTGTATATGCAAGTCTTTCAATTTAGGGATCTGATTGCAGAACAACAAATAGTTAGACTTATTTGCTACTTTTCACTATTTTTTATTTAAAAAATTGAAAATATGAAAACTAGTCCATATCATACTACCGGGGATGCTTTTATACAAGAAAAATGCTTAAAATACACAAGGTGTACACCATATAAAAGTCCCCAAAAAAATCCCATTTTCCCCCTTCCCTCTTCTCTCTTCCTCTCTCTCTTTTCTCTTTCCTCTTTATCCTTCGAAAATTCTAAAAAAAAAGTGCATGGGATGAACATCTTCTCTTCTTCATCCTTTTTTCTCTACATTTTTATATCAAATTTTTCCCATCATTTGCACAAATTCAGTTTATTTAGCTTATTTCATCTATTTTTTATCATTTTTCTAATTTGTTTTTCAAATTACATGTAAACTGATCACACATACAACTACATCATTCATTTGGATGTATATAAATAATTAATTTTTTTGTTCACCCAAACAATTAAAATTGATCACACCGGCAACTGAAGTTAATCACACAGACAACTATTGTGTGTGAGCCCCATGACTATTGTCTGTGTGGTACACAGACGAATAATTGTGTGCACCGACAATATCCCATCTTACAAACTGGTGTTAGTGTCAGACGACAATCAGTATACTATCCCTGTTCTTAAATAAGTGCAACATGTGAAATTTTACACTATTCACATGTTCTACTTTGAATACATTTTATTTATTGATGTATTAATATATATTTTTGAAAAATATATTATTAAATTTTTCTCATTGGAAAATTTCAAAAACTGATTCTTTTAAATTTTTTAATGATAGAGAATTATATATATTAGTGGTCAAAGTTGTGCCTCGACAAGTATGAAATGTTACACTTATATTTTTACACAATTAATATTTATGGACACAAACAAAAGTTATAAGTGATCGACATTTTATGTATAGAACAACTTGTCTACCCTATCATTTTTGTTTATACAAATGCTCTTAAAAAGGCTGATGGCCCGTCTACTTTCAACAGGCAGGTGTTGAGCCGTACACAAGGACTATTCTTCTCCACAATGCTAGAGGTACACACTTTGTGTACACACTTTGTGTACACTCGTCTGTCTCTTAAGAAAATTTTGTCTGTCACAGACAATTCATATATGAGTTGTCTGTGACAGACAAAATTTTCTTAAGAGACAGACGAGTGTACACAAAGTGTGTACACAAAGTGTGTACCTCAAGCATTTTTGTCAGTATATATATCCACGGGTCGATCACGCCTGACCTGACAGATCATTGACCAAACTCTAAGCCTGTAAGTCAGCACTCGGGTCGGGTATTGGTTGAAGAAGGAAGCTATGGCGATTGCTGCTCGTTCTTCTTCAGGATGGGTGCTTGTTCTGGTCGCAGTAGCAGCCCTTGCTGCCGGAAGAGTTGCCGGAAATTCTGAAGGAGACGCTCTCTACGCGCTCCGGCGTAGCCTGTCGGACCCGGATAAAGTGCTCCTGAGCTGGGAACGCAATCTGGTGAACCCTTGCACCTGGTTCCATGTCACTTGCAACAGTGAGAACCGAGTTACTCGCCTGTGAGTCCACTCTTCTCTCCCTCTTTTGCATAAATTGGGTTTTGATTTTTATTATTCCTCGTATATCCTTTTTTAATTTTGCTTGGTAGAGGGAGAGTTAAAGTTCATTTATGTTGTTAGATTATATTACTGAATCATCTGTCAGTGAAAGATCCCTCCTTTTCTTGTGGTATGTGCAGTGTGTATGGGATCTGTTGAATTGTTATGTTCTTCTTCCTTGATTTGTGTAAAATGATTGATCCCAAATGGAACAAATAGAAAAAACAAGTCTATGAACAAGCCTGGATGGTTTGTTCTATACTCTTTTCAGAAAGAGTTCTGATCAGTGATTCTATATGGATTTCACACAAGATTTATGATCAGGTTGCATCCTTGTGGCCAGGGAATTTATTGTCCCGTTTTAACGCCCAATTGCAAAAATCTATAAGACTTCAATTATAGTTCTCCTATTTTGCATCTACTTCTTCTCATTCCTGATTATTATCTTGATATTCATCGTGAATATGGATTGTAGTTCATAAAAGAATCTCCATTTGTATATTATCTACTGCAGGGACCTTGGAAACGCGAACCTATCTGGGCATCTGGTGCCTGATCTAGGGAAGCTTGAGCATCTAGAGTATCTGTGAGTTTTCTGTTTACATGAAATATCTTAATAACAAAGGGCCCGTTTGGTAGCCTCTATTTTCAGCATAACAACCAACTCATTTACCAAATATTAAACTTTTGATTTTGCGTGCAGAATTCTGTAATAATCAAAACAAAAATAAATAAGTCTGAAGTTACTTTTTTAGCTGAACTGTCTCATATTGCTGAAGAGGACATAATACAAAACGGGATCTGACAATGATAGCGTTTCGTGAAATTAAGATATATAGTACACTAATAAGTACGTAGTAATAACTAACAAGAGATCTTTTTTCAGTGAACTTTACAAAAATAACATTCAAGGAAAAATTCCTCATGAGTTTGGTGAGTTGAAGAACCTTAAAAGTTTGGATCTGTACAACAACAACATGTCTGGGAAAATTCCTCGTTCATTGGGGAAGTTGAAAAACCTTGTCTTCCTGTAAGTCTCTGTACTCAACTTTTCTTTCTGGCCTTCTTTTGTACCTCCTCCCTGAAATTATGTTTAACTTTTTCTTTCTAATTTATTTGATTATGGTAATATAGTGACATATCATTTTCACCTTCTTAATGAACATCTGAGTAATGCGATATTTCACAAGAACCAAGATAGGCATTTGGAATGGAGACTAATCAGAAGTAATTTGTGATTTAATCGTGCAGGCGTCTTAACAATAATCAGTTTTCTGGAAGAATTCCCAGGGAAATTGCTAGTATTTCTACCCTTAAAGTCATGTAAGTGGATCAGAACTTAGTCCATTTTGTTGTTACTAGTTACTACTTGTATTATGGTTTAAGGAACACCACACCTTAATTTTTCCTTTATACAGGGATGTATCAAGCAACGATCTGTGTGGAACTATTCCAACCACTGGTCCATTTGAGCACATTCCGCTTAACAAGTAACACTCTATCATTTATTTTCTTCATTTTTTTTCTTTTTGAAATTTCATTTGTCAGCTACAGAACAAATTTCAAATACTCTTTACAAGTTGTGAAGGGGCTATAGGGTTAACCTATTTTATTTGTATGGAGTAAAATTGTTACTGTTTGTATTCTTGCTGATATAATTCAGGATCGGGTTGAGGTCATTCAACTAGGCCATAAGGCACTTAGACTCTTAGAGGAAACCACACTTAAAGCGTGCATCTAATTTATCAGCTTGTTCAAACGATTGTTTACTAACCCATCGCGCTCCACCCTCAGGTCAAGTTTAAATTTTCTCGTGTAAAGTGATTCCATATCAAACGAATGTAAAAATACAAAGCAACTCATTCGTGGGTTCTTCTTCCTACCCGGTAGATCTTTTAGGAATAATCTCATGCCTTATAATATAGTACTAGAGGGAGCAATTCTTTCCTAGTAAGCATGCACAAAAAGCAATTACACATATTTCAAGATTGGTCTGTTCTAACAAGTCTCCATACTTTCTTGCTCTTTAAAGTGTAATATGGTTTTGTTTTTTGCGTGGTGATTAATTTTTTCTCTGTTATTGACTTGCAGCTTTGAAAATAATCCTCGGCTGGAAGGCCCCGAGCTGATTGGACTTGTAAGTTATGACACAAATTGCTAGGTGGTCCTCTTTTATTGACTAATGTAAAAGTAATACTGTTCTGACCTGGAAGGTTACATATGATTTCGTTAGTAAATATGTATATCGCTATACTGCCCTACGTCCTAATGTCTGAAAAGTACTGTTCCTTGTTGATGTAGGATTTTTATCCAAATTACCAGGATTTGTGTGATACTGTTGTACTTTTGCCAAAAGTTAATTATGACAATATATGAGTTCACTGGAATTGATGTTTGGGTTTGCTGATACCACTCCTAAGCCATTTCATTTTGTTGCAAGTGCAATCACTTTTGGGGTATCATTTATCACTTAACCCCATTATAATTTGGTTAGGTCGATGCTTAAAATTTTAACATACTTTTGCGGATCGTAAATATTTTTACATATATGTAAAGTTTTGGGATGTTCAGACCTCCTCCAGCCCCTCTTTCTCTACCACTAGTCACATGTATACAAATACAATAGTTTAGAAGCTGAGGCATTACTATAAGTTGGGTGGGTGAAGTGGAAGTTATACAATACTTTAATTTGACATTCTCCCCTGTATTGAAAGCATTCAACCAGTATGATATGGCTTTGGATAGCTTTATTTTTTTCTCTATTTGAAAGATTTGGACTAGCTTAGAATGGCGGAAAGTTTTATTTAAAAAAGTAAAATTGTAAAATGTTTCTGTGATGAGATCTTCATGGAGAAAGGAGATGAGATAAACACAACTTTCATCACCCAGGCAGTGTCTAACTGTCTATTGCTACAA